ACTCAGGATTTATGTTATTTCTTTACTGTGTGAGAGAGTTTATGTGTCTTTTAAAATCAGAACACACTAATCTGATGCTTTAGGTCCTAAGTTCTGTGAAAATATCACAGTATGGTGAATACATACTACAGAACCCTCTGTGGACTTAGGGTGAATGTGTTTACACCGAAAAATATGCACTTTTCTTTTTAAAGTTAAGATAGAAATGTTCCACAGAACAGAAGTGTTATATATATATATATATATATATATATATATATATATAATATGCTAATATTTACAAAATGCACCAACCAGTTAACTGATTTAAGAGATTGCAAAATGGTTTGTAACAACTAAAGAATGAATAAACGAATAAATAAAGGCCTTGCATTCTTTGAAGATATGCCCCTTTTTCATGCCAGCTTTAAACTAAGATCGTCCTGTCTTGACAAATGATGGAATTATTTATTACCATTTTGCTCGAACACTAAAATAAAATGGGCAATGTCTTGAGAAATGAAAAATCGGCTGATGTGTCAGCGCTCAGAGTGTGTGCCACTCAGTTTTACTGTAAGGTTTAGCTCATTAACTGTTAAACTGACTGAGCTGAAGCATTTTTGTGTTGACTGAGCTTGATTAGATTTGCAGCCACTGAATCAGATTGACTCCAAAAGTTAATTATGTACACACAATGGTTAGTTTTTAAGAGTTTCCATACGATACGATATGTTGCCAACATGATCGACAACGCACAAACCTGCAGCCACAGTCAAAAACTTTGTAAATAGTTCCTAATAAGCATTAATAATTGTGTTTGTGTCTGATTAATCTAATTAAGAAAGTCTAACAATTAATTGGGAGAGTCAGTGGACTGGGATAAGTCCAACCAATATGTCCATTTCTTCTTTGCCTATAGCTGTACATGCAAATGTGTGTGTCTGTGCGTAACTGTTAACAGATAAAACATTCACACAACAATGCAAGATGCAATGCTTTGAGAAAAGCTAAAATGAGCCCCGATAAACAAAGAAACTGTGTCTGAATAATTCAATCAGATGCTTGGTAAACACCGTGAAAGGACCTCCCATGTGTCAGAGGATTTCTGGAACAGAGATGTTTGAAACCACAGAATGAACCACGTGACTTGTATTTAATCCTGCTGAGGACTTTCACTGAGTGAAAATGGAAATGCATCTGATGACTCATCATTCAAAGGAGAAACGTACACAGACACATTAGACAGAGTATGTCTGCAGAGAACACAAGAACACAAAGAACAAAACACAAGAACACTTAAAAAAATGTCTACAACACTCGGCGGATAGATACGCAGAGCAGGATGGACTTCACTACTTAAATAAAAACAGTTCTTTTAATGACAGAAAGTGTATTTTATGGAAAAATAAATAAATGTTGAATCACTTTGCTGAAATTTGCTGAAAGCAGAACCTGAACGACTCAAGCTAAAAGACTGAAAGCCTCAAGTTAAGAGATAGCAAAACAAGTTTCAATGAAAAAAAAAGCTCTGTAAGGAAGAGAGGAAATAATGTATTTCTAAAAAAATATTTACAAGAAACAGTGAAGAGATTTTGAAAATGATAAAAGTTATAAAAACCTATGGTGAGGTGTCAGACTTATGTATTTATCATCTCAGCAGCAGAAGGGAGCGACACAATTCAAGCATGGCTCCCAAAACAACAAGGCAGTCGTATTTGTTCATAACTTTATTATTAGAAAGCCTGAGAGTTGCCAGATCTAAGCAAACAGTTGCCGGAACGCACCCTGACAAAATAAGAGAGTTCCCAGATCTTGTTCCAACAAGATCCAGTTCACATTAAGCTCTGGTTGTAGCACAGAAAGCAGTACGTTATAGTCCAGCACCAGAAATATGCCGGTGGCCTGCGTGTTCGTGAAATATACGCCTGTAATGTGCATGTGCTTTAACACTTCTGCAGGACTTTTCACGCCTTTGTGGAGGCTGGTGTTGTGTAAATGAACAGCCAAACCACAGAAAGGTGCGGTTTCACTCAAACTACGCACCCAACGGCTCCTAACTTTTAAAGTTAACCTAATTCAAGATGGCTGCCAATGGCAATCAGCTGTAGCACATAGAAAGACAAAGGCTAACAGTTAGCTTTAGTTTGTTAATATACAGCAGCCACTTTTATAGTTTGAGCTTAAACTTGGTATGAGCTCACGGAGGGGCTATTTATTCCTTCAGTGGACAATGATTTAATTAAAAAATACATATTTTTTATTTTTTATTTTGTGAATTAGCAAGGCAAGTATAATTTATTATCCATAGTGTTAAGAGCCATCGCTAAATAAAATAAAAACACTTATCTTTGGAGCAACTAGAGTCAAGTACAATAAATGAATTGACAGCTGAAGCTATTTTTGAAGTATCTTAGCCTTTTAAAAAATATATATATATAAAAAAAAAAACTTGCAAAAATGTGTGTAAGTATAAAAACACTATGCTGTTGTAGCTTCTCAGTCATCCAGGACATGATAAATAAATTAAAAAAGTAAAAGAAAACATAAAACCACATGTACTAGACTTCTATTCTGTAATTGAAGACGTTTAAACAATGGGATTGATGAAACATGAACACCTGAGGAACAGGACAGAATACTGTCCACATGTTACTGAAAGAGTAATACTTAGGAACTCAGATTGTTTTCTATGTAACAAATAACTTGTTGTCTGTCTGGAAGAAGAAAAAAAGTGAGTCAATTAAATGTGTTGATGTTAATGAAGCTTTGTGTGTCCGTTTCAAAAGTGTGATAAGACAGCTGAATGGAAACCTGAAACAGGTAAAACACAAACACACAGATACACGAGAACAATATACACGTCAGGGTGTTTAAGAGCATAAAATAAAACGGAGCTCGTATATGATCAGGCCAAATCCTGTCTAGCACAAATCTTCCTTTGTTTTAGTTGGGATGTTTTCATAAATTACTCAGAGCCTGAGGGAGGAAGTACTCTGGAGCACTTAAGGCTCTGTCTTCACAGTAATATACGTTGATTTGCTTGATTGCACAAATATGTGGCCTAACAAATCAACTAAATTATATTTGTTTGAGGCTTTAAAGCATCAAATTATCATTAGGAAACTTGCTGTAAATGGTGACGACCTCACATCTTCTCATCTTCTGTGGTTCAGACAACATCTAGGTAAGAGGAAATATTTATTTTTTCACATTTCAATATAAAGTATATTTTTTCCACCCATCAGTTTTATCTGGTACCTGCTAAAGATGGGTAGTAGTGATTTTTAGCCTTCCTCTAATTATCCTCAGGTTTAGTTTGGGTTAAAAATAGAACCACGAGCACATCAACCTTCTCAGATCTGAGCAGTAATAAAACAGGCTGCGGACCTTTGAGCTACAAACTCAGTCTGAAGGTGTTCTTTCACGGCACTAAAAGGAAAACAGGTGGCGTTGGGTTTCCAGAGTCGTCATCTTTGTGACACAGACTCTAACTCCACTTCTGCTTACTCTCCCTGGTTGTGACCCATTCCTCTGCTACATTTTTTTTGTAGTAAAATTTAATAGTAAAGTAAAGAAAAGTGCTATGTGTTGTCATCATTGTATGTTTCCATACAATGATGAAATTAGTTCTCTGTATTTAACCCATCACACCTGAGATACACACAGGTGGAGCAGTGGGCGGCTATGTAAGCGCCTGAGGAGCAGTTAGGGATTGGGCGTTTTGCTCAGAAACACCGCGACATGTGGGCATGGTGGGGAGTTGAACCTGCGGCTTTCTGGTCCCACGTCGGCTGCCCTACCTCTACACCATCTCGGCTGCTTATAGCCTGCACAACTACCTTCTCTTCAGCCTTGGCTCTGACGGCTGCTGCTCTGTCATTCAAAACCATGGTGGTAACTGGGATGATGATGTACTGATAGATTTGGCTTGAATAATTCATAATGGTTTCATCATTACAGATATTTTAAAGTTTTTATATAAAGCTGTAAACTGTAGAGGTTATTAATATGTGTTTGAACATGGCCGTTTCATTAGTTTCAGACTCACTGCGGTTTACTGTTCATGCTGCTGTTGTTCGGTGTATTGTTTTGTACTATTAGTGCTTAGCGTAGTCTTAGTTTAGTGTATTTCTTAGTTAATATCTTAGATCTTATTACTGTTTTTCTTTACAATTTATACTTTTGTTGGATGTAACTGGGACCCTGTGTACACAATTTTGTTCCACCACATGTACCACATGTGGTGCGACCGTGCAAATGACAAACTTTGAATTTGACTTTCTCCTCCTAAATAATGGGTTTTACTACTGATAAATAAATAAATAAACAGCAGGAAATGTACTAGCAGTCACAGGACAAGAAGTACTGTATGTGTGTCAGTTACTGTTCTGCAAAAATGATTGAACAGATGCATGTTCACTGAGGAACATTCTGGAGAATGACGTTATTTGCTCTCTGTAGGAGATTAAAAAGAAAAAAGCCAGGTGGTGAAAGTAAAACTGGCCAGCCACATAAATACAGTGGACAAAAGACAAATAAACAATGTGTTCAGATATTACCTGAACAGACAATGAGGACAAATGGGTGAGAAAATTAACCAGCGAGTAGATAAATGAATGGAGGGATGACTGGTAAGATGAAAAGCCAAAAGGAGAGAATGAGGAATATTGCCTCTTCCCAAAGAAACTGAGGCCCTGACTACGTAAAGTTTGCATAATGCACCCAGACCATAGGTAGTAAAATTTGTTGTCACTCTCAGAGACTCTTTTTAAATTAAATTTTCTTGCAATAAATCCTGATCTAGACTCCCAACTAGAATTCAGTTAAAAGCTAAAATATAAAAAGTGATTGTTTATTTGACCAATAAATGGGTGACAATACAAATGGGAAATGCTGTCATGCTGCCATTAACATCTGCATCAGATATCTGTGCCATACAGAAGAGATGGAGATATTTAGTGAATGAAACAAAAGGTAAGATAGACAAAAAGCACATATGTAAAAATAAATAGTAGCATTACTTTGTCATTCTTTGCTCGGCTTGATTTTGATTCCACACAAGGAATTCAGGGTCGTACCTATCAAGGGGGGACAGGCAGAGAGAAACAAAAGAGGTATACGTTGGCTGTCTGGCAACAAATTGTTCAATAGTTGTAATATTTGTGGTAATTAGTAAGTAGAAATCAATGTGGTCACTAGACTCATCTTTCTCTCTCAATATTTGGTAATCAGGCAATGGGTGGCAGAGGTGGGCTTGGTGAAAAACATGCACACAGAGTGAGTGGCAAGAAAATGGTTAGTTTGTCAAGTAAAGAGAGGGTCTTAGAACAAAGAAACATGCAATTTTAGCCAAACTGAGGTGTATAAACATAGCAGAACAACTTTTGTGACCCATTAAGTCAACATAACAGTTAAATGATACCATAAATACCAAAATCATCCATGTGTACTGGATAATTTTGTGATTTGTTTCAATTCAGATGATTTTAGACAAATAACTTTACTGGAAAAATGTAGGAGTGCAAGCAAAGTAGCAAAATACTAACAATTTTCATCACGTTTGGCAGTTCGGAGTGTCACATGAAATTTACAGACTATTTAAAAAATGACAAAATAATTTAGGCCTTTTTGAATAAGATTTATCGGCAGCAAGAAAGATAATGCGTAACGCCAGCTGTATCCTTTAAGATGGTCATAATGTCATAATAAACCGTTCTATCACTGTGCGTTTTAAACTCAGGGGACCCTCCCTTTAATGGAACAACGACAAAAGCTTTTCAGAGAGCAGGAATGGTCAAAGCACCAGTGTTGAGTGTGCATGTGGTGAGGTAAAATGCCATGCAAAGAAAGTCTGCTTCCTCAATGTTGCAGGGCAGATGTGTAGAAAATATAAAAAAAAACATATTCAAATAAATAAAACAAAATGACGCCGGAGCAAAAGAGTGAGCAAACAAACAATGTGAGAGCAATATGCACAGAGAAATAACCATTTGGACAATGAGTGAGGGAAAGAGCAATGACAATAAGAGACATCTGCTATAAGACAGAGAAACCTTTGAGTTTCCAGTTGGTGCAGTACACAGTAATTACCAGTTCAGCACACAATTACATTGTCATTAGAAACACTGAACCTGTGGAATATATATATGTACCTAACACTTTAACTAAAATGTCACAAAAACCCTTTAAAGTCTAATCTGGTAGATTTTGTGTTTGACAGCTTGTCTGTTCAACCACTGGTTGGAAAGACACTAATTTACAAGAGATACTGTTTTAAACTTTGGTTTCAACTAGAACAAAAAAAAAGGCTTTCAGACAGCTTTAAAAGACTGTCACTGTTTGCATCTAACGTTTTTTATCTCTTACTCTACGCTCTAGCATGCCCACACTGTCACACTGAGATCTGCTTCCTAAAAGCAGAGTTTGTGCAGACTCCCCATGTCAAATGTTTCTAGTAACTGTACAGATCGGAAGTGATGACCACTGACAGAGGAGCACTTCACTTCTACAAGTGACAATAAATAAAAAAAATAGACCTAGAAAAGTGTGCAGGCATTCAAACAGTTGTGTACGCAAGGCCCAAAACAGGAATTCAGGGTGGACAGTGAAGGATGCGACATGATGTGTGCCTCATACTAAAGCTCAGACTCAGCCATCTATTGGCCCTTTTCCTTAAGTAATGGTACAGCACGGTTCAACTCGACTCGGCACGGTTCCAAGGCTTTTCCTTTAGCAACAGTTCGTGGAACCAAGCCCTTTCTCAGTACACATTTCTCTGGGGGTTCCAACCGGTACGAACTGGCCCTAAAATGTGACGTCAGAACACTGTCGGTCACTGATTGGTCAGGGGGTGCAGTCACTGGTTGTTTGAGAAACTTTTCACAACAACCCGATCCACCATTTGTAATAACTATAACTCGAGGAGCGACTGGACCTATTTTTAAGATAAAAAAAAAAAAAAGACAACACTGTGGTCTAATGCTGAAGTGCTGGTGTTTTTTTTTTTTTTTGTGCTTGATGGCCAACAACAAAAATTCAGAGCAAGCTAGATGGAGCTCCACCGGTCCACCCGATCTTCTCCACCGGAGCTTCGGAGCCCCCGCAGGCCAAGCAGGGCGTCAACTCCCAGGCCCCGAGCTCCGCCATCCACTTCAGAAGATCCTCTGTGCTCCTGCGGGCTCTGAGCTCCGTTGGTAACAGCGGAGGATCATAAGAGCTGCCGATCCCACAAGAGCACGTAGGTCGGGGTCCGGGCCCCTGCCTCATGTGCTCCTGCAGGCTCCGAGCTGAACTCGCCCACTAGAACCGTTACTGATAGTACAATGGAAACGCAACTCATGCCATGCCGAGACGAGTCGAACCGTGCTGTACCAGTACTAATGGTACTAAAGGAAAGAGGGATATGAGTGCACTCAACTGTCAAACCTGACAGTTTGTGGCTGCAAACTTCTGTAGCAATATTAAACTTTGCATTTCATCCTGTTTGCCATTAAACACAGTCAGTTATAAAAGCTAATTCAAAGGTTATGTATGATGCTTAAAGACTTGGATTTATTTAGGCAGATCTGACCCTCAGTAAGTTCTGCAGACATGGAAAGGGAGCAGAGCACAGAGCTTCACCAACAAGCCAGCTTTGATTGAAAGTACTTTTATAGGTTTTTTTTTTCTTACCTTGGGTCCTTTTGGATGCTGTCTACTGATGGAGACCGGCCCAGAGCAGCCTCAGGTGGAAGGGCAGGGCCCGATTTGCTGTAAGGCGACTCGGTCGATGGACAGAACTGCAGAGTGCGGTATGGGTTGGCGTAGTCAGCCACACCACTTCCTGTGGCAAAGCTGCCTCTCTGAAAAGTGGCGGCGGTGCTCTGACTTCCCGTTCGCTGCAAGGGGATTGGATCAACACCGGGGGAGGATGGGGCTAGAGGAGTGTAAGGATAAAACAGATAGTTGAGGACATCTTGGTACAACTGGTTCACCACTGGGGTTTGAGTAGCAAGGTTTGAGTGGGCAGGAAAAATAAATCACAACCAAACAAATCCAACCCAAGGACACACACGTAGAAGCAGGAGTAGCAGAAAAGCAACAACACAGCAGCAATGGGCAAAAGGGGAAAAAAGAAACCAAACATAAAAAACAAGTCATAAATCAAACAGATAAAACATTGTATAAAGTGTTACACTGCATAAAACAGAGTATGTTTTTCTTTTGAAAAATAAGTCATAATTAACAAACAGAAACAGAACAATTTAAATAATAATAATAAAAAAAAAAACATATGGGTTAACATACTAACACAATGTTTGATGAACAGGATCCTTGTTCTTTAAATCAAACAGGGTGCCCCCTCACACCTGATTATCATCCATTGATTGAAAACACCTGAATCTAATTTCACCTTCAGATTAACTGATAACCCTAGAGGTTAACATACATTTGCCACTCACAAATATGTAATATTGGATCATTTTCCTCAATAAATAAATGACCAAGTATAATATTTTTGTCTAATTTGTTTAACTGGGTTCTCTTTATCTATTTTTAGGACTTATGTGAAAATCTGATGATGTTTTAGGTCATATTTATGCAGAAATACAGAAAATTAAAAAGTCTTCACAAACTTTCAATCACCACGATGTAAAGTGCACATTCTCAGTTTTCAGAAACGGCTGGAATTATGCCGATAGCACAAACTACTGCAAAGTTACAGTAATGCAAATTGAGCCTGTAAAACAAAAGTCAATGTCAACACACTCAGAATAAACATTTTGTTGTTGAAGTTCAGGTATGTCAGCCACCAACTATAATAAAGTGCTATGTGTTGTCATCATTGTATGATGTAACTGGGACCCTGTGTACATAGTTTCGTTCCACCTCAAGTACCACATGTGATGTGAATGACAATAAAAATCCTTGAATCCTTGAATCCCATACAATGGTGAATTTGGTTCTCTGCATTTAACCCATGACACCTGGGATACACTCAGGTGGAGCAGTGGGCAGCTATGTAGGCGCCTGGGGAGCATTTAGGGATTGGGTGTCTTGCTCATAGACACCATGACATGTGCGAATGGCTGGGAATGGAGCCTGGGACTTTTGGGTTCCAAGTCGGCTGTCCTGCCTCTACCTGATCTTGGCCCCACATAAATTAGGTTGAAGAGCTTAGTGTATTACCGGTAGATAAAATATTGCTTGATGGATTGTGCGTGTGTTTGTGTGCTTGTGGTGGTAATTTAAACATCTTAAAGTTCCAGTTATAATAAATAGTCTAATCTTTAATTGCTCTGGCCATCATTGGTGGACAAATGGTGACTCATCATTTGTAGACACAGATATGGGGTTTGTACAGACGTTTGTAGATTCATTTGTTTGGGTACTTGTTCTATTTTACCTGCCTGGTAGTGTTTCTTACTGTAGCCAGTTACTACATGAAGTTATATGCTGCAGAGGAACATTTGTAATAAAGTACATTGTGATACAATCAAAACAAACTGTGCACAGCGTGTAAAAAAGACAAAAAACAAACTAACAAAAAAGGGTACAGTAGTCCCTCATTTATCGCGGACAATCTGTACCCTGAAGACCCGCGATAAGTGAAAAACCGCGAAGTAGGAATAGTAGTACAAGTAG